AAGATCTTCGAGGCAGACGACGAGGCAGTTGGAGAAGAGATCGCCGAGATATTTTATAGCGACAATGAAGACGATGACGAGTTCCTTGGATTTTAGCCAAATCTCCGTGGTTTTCAGGGCCACCACATCCTCCAAAAAGAGTTATACCGCTATCATGTGTGTGTGTGTGTTTGTATGTTATATAGTATTTATTGAATAGTTTGTTTCTTGAGTAAATATTTATTGAATATCACTGAAAATTGCCCTTGATTTAAACATTTGTAGCTCCATGATTTAAAGTAAAAACTTCATACATTGTTGCAGTTTGGAATTTGCGTGCATCTCATTAGCATATTATTAACTAATTTGCATATTTCACGTCCTGGCACTTTAAGATTTTAGACAATGCTTCAATAGAAGCCGCACCCGGACTTCACCACTTTTCCTGGGGAGGGCAGCCATTTTCTTTTTAATAGAAGCCGCGGCTTCTATTACGAATTTTACGGTACATAGATCAATGCAACCACATCGATCTTTTCAAAACAATGAGCAAGTTGAATAAACTTACCAGTGCTATATGGCTATTATTCCACGTGTTGTTGTCGACTAGCGTCGTTTTGTTACCCATTCCAGCGATTTGATACCCATAATCCCACCATGACATCACTCTCGCATTGTCGTCGGTATTCTCGCGTAACCAATAATAAGCTTCACGGAAGTCATCTAATATATTCCTTGATCTGAACAGGAATGATACAAGACATGAATAATTATTTGGTGATCTTCAATACCTGACTAATAATAGTCATGCTGTATTTTTGAGTCCCTATAGTTATTTTTTGTTGTTGTTTGAATGTTTTTCTACAAGGCGACAGTTACGGACTTTGAATGTCACTGTTGTCTGCCCTGACTTTTTTTTTGTATGTGCAAATTGCAAATAAGAGTGCTGAAGCTATATTTATGTTTGGGACTAAATGAGAGGACTGTGAGCTATATCTTTATCAAACGGAAATTCAATGCGCTATCAACCAGGCTCAGTCGAACACAAGCACCTGCGGATCTTAACCAAGGTTCCCCCAAAGTCGCATTCGTTAGTAAAAGTTATTTTTTATTGTGGTGCTTATTGCAAGTGCATGTGTGCAGACCAGTCTCACAAATTTAATACGGCATGTTTAGAAGGCAGGGCAGACTGTACTATGATTTATGCTGCAGAGTAAACACTCAGCTCTGGTAATCAAATGTAGAACCAGTCTGATGTGAGAAGAACCACTGCTGTTATTTGCTTTCTTGAGAATGCAAATGTAAATGCATTACACCAATTGCAAAGTCGAAATTGCTTAAGTCTGTTTTGTACCCGACAACCACTTTTACCACGAGTTGACCAACTTGACCCAACTCACTTGACTCCCCCTTCTAAAGATTTGATCAGATAACTTGAGTTGACAAGGATCGGTGAAATTTTGATGTAAAAAGCGATTGGTCAAGGCTCATAATTAGACTTGGACCTCTTCCATATCAGAGGTCTGACATGCCAACCCACCCCCCCACCCCCCCACCCTCACCAAAAAAAAACAAAAAACGATCAGTCTCAGTAACATGAACACGGTTCTGAAACTATCCCAGGTATTCGGGTCCCAATTAAAACACACGAACTCGGGATAAAGCTCTGAATCCCGAACACATTCTAAACAATGGTAAAATTTGCTATGTGGCAATTTCCGCAAGATCGAGTTGATTTTTTGGGCTACGACCCAGGAGGTAAGAAGCTCTTCTTGGAGTGCCTTCTACTCCATTCAAACTACACTAAGAAATGAACAAGGCACGCACGAGTGGAACGCAATTACAGTTGAAAATGACGCAATGAAGGCCTAGAGAAGTGGTCTAATGCGTCAGAGTTTTTTTTTTCGAAAGGTACAAAAAGAACACAGGGCCCCCAATAAGTAAAATTTTATCCTACCAGACACAACGTCTTACTGTTTCCAACAGTCACAAAAGGAGTACCTCAAAAAACTCTGACGCTGACTAAACCCCACCGCTTTGCTCAGATGCACACTCGGTGCGGAGAAAACAGCGAGTGAAGATGGGTCAAGATGGCTCTGGCCTTGGTCACATGTTGCATGACGGGGAAGAAAATCTATGGGGGTAAATGTGGACCAGCCTGGTAGAACGTGAATACACACCTGACATTGACTTTGAATCACACAGGTTGATATGGATTATTATGCAGATTAGTAAAAAGTATAATTATATACAATCCAATAATTCCAAAAATACTTGCACACACAAACAAGCAAAAATGATCTTTTTAGGTCATCTGTAGTTATCCAGGCTCATATAAAACCCTGAAACCCGGACAACGGTATATACAATGAACAAGCAGCCTATCGGCTGAGATAGCTCCGCTGTTGGCAATGCACATTTCAATTAAAGAACTGAAGATATCATTAGAAAATGAACAATATGTATAGTATCAAAGCAATGGGACTTGTTGTTTTCAACAAGAATTCAAAAATATCATTTTTCACCATAAATGATTGTGGTTTTTAACAAGAAGAAAATATCACTTTTTACCAAAAATGACAAAAATATTCACCAAAATTAGAGAATCAAAGATATCATTATAAAATGAACAAATCTGAGAGAGGTCCACATGTAGTACCTATATTTGTAATATCAAAGCAATTGGATTT